CGGACGCTTAACCGACTGCGCCACCCAGGCGCCCCTAGCTGGTGACTTTGAACAAGGGATTCAGCCACACCTCAGTTCATGTGTGAAAATGAGGGATTAGGTAATTCTCTATAAGGCCTCTTAGAGCTCTTACCATTGTGTGATTGTGTTGAGGCTGAAAGTAAAATTTGTCACAGATAAACCATAATGGAAATAATTTATTCACAGATAATGGAGCAGTCAATGGTGTTCATCACATTTTTGAGTACCTGTGTGTCCGTAAGTCATATTTTTGCATTTAAAGCACATTAGAAATTTAAACATGGTAAAGGTAAAAAGCTTTTTGAAATTTGCCTCTGGAGATTTTTTTTTTTTAATTTAGAATTTCAAGTGTGCATTGTTCTAGTGGCTTTTCTATTTACCTGTCACTGTAAATTTTCTGCAGAGTTTCTGGTAAATGTATGGAGTCTTCTCCTGTTATGCTTGGCTTAGTGATGTCACAGAATAGCTGTCTGGACGCTTACTTCATCTGCAAGAATAGGGTTTTTCATTTGCCAGGATTTTCACTTGTTAAAAAGAGTCTCAGTCTCCATAGACAGGGTATTAATTTGCTGTTTTTAGATAAGCCTTCTAGAGCAGAATGCAATCCTCTTCCCATTAGGTTACTAGAAATTTTTATTAATAGAAACATGCTAAGCACATAAACAAAGTTAAGATTTGCATGTGGCATACACAGGGGAAAGTTTATGAAGGAGGAGCTATAAGGAAAAAATACCAAAGAACTCCCTCTTAATAGCTTATTCCTCCCCTATCATTTTACCTTTTAATAGGGGAGGTTTTCTTCACCCTTATTTTCTTTAACCCTTTCTGGTTTTCAAAATCTGATACCTACCCATATGTATTGAACAAAATCATTTTTCACTTATGTCCTTTTTAAATTACAATATGCAAAATATGGCTGAAATAATAGGATGAAGTCCAGTTAAGTCACCTGTAAAAATCAGCCTAAATTACTTTATTATCTCATATTCATGCTGAAAACTTTCTTCATATGACACATGTTTAGTATTCACTTTAGATACATTTTCAAAATGTTCGGCTATCAGAATAAGAAGTCAAATACAAAAACTGTATCACAGTTTATACTACATATTTTCCAGTTTTTCATGTGAGTAGACTTCAAATATTAATAAGAGGAAGAGAGGTTGTTAACTTATTTGGGAAGCCAGATATTCAATTCTCAGATTACTCAAAGGTCTTATTGTACATGGGTGTGTATGTATCATGTATGTATGTTGGCAAGGAGGGAGTTATGTTTTGCTTTGGGAAAGAACCGTTTAGGGAAAAGCTGGCAGACACTGTAAATAGCTATGATTTAAAATTTTTTCTTATCAGTTGAAAAATACCTGGGCCACTAACTGTGCATTGTTTGGAAACTTGTAAAAATGTGCCCACCTAGATAATGTCACAGAGGGCTATGGTCCCCACTCTTGTCTTCCGATGCCAAGCCACATGTATTCTGTAATCTTGGTTTTGTTAGATGACAGATGCTTCCTCCTTTCATGCCACAAAAAGTGAAATTCCAGCTAATATGAAAACTTTATAAATGAAGTCTGGTAATTGTACTTGAGTCTAAGAAGACAATTTAAATTTATATGTATATATAATTAATTATGTATTAATTATTTTCAAACTGTTTAAGTAGAAACTATTTTACATTAGTAGTCTTAACATTGACTTTTTGTCTTAAAAAATTTTTACTGAGTCAGGAATCTTGTTATAGTGTAAACATGGGCCTTGGGTCCTAAGTCCTGCTTTTGCCTCTATGACTGAGAAAAGTTAATTAAACCTAATGGAACTTAGTCCCTTGATCTGTATGACTGCTAAGACCTCTTCTGATTTTAATAGTCCATGATTCTATAAGTTATATGATGTGCTAGTTTCTTTCCATTTAATTCTCCAGTTCAGAAATTTATCACACATATATCTGCATCTAGCTTTGACATCTATTAGGTGATCTATTAGGTGATCAATAAATATTTATTAAAGTAATGGTATGTGTATTTTGCTGTTTCTGGTGGGTTGTGAAATTACTGTAATTTCACAGCTTTTTATATCGGGCTGTTACTCATCTTTATTTTTGCTGAATGATATTATTGCTGCTTTAACATTTACTTACTCTCTACCATAGTTTTGTGCATGATGTAGAGTTATTTTTATGTGTTTCAGAGAGGAAGCTGGAGGAAAAACTCTTTCACTACACCTAATCTTAGTCAACCTAAAAAGATAGATACAAATACTATCATAATCGTAAAATAATCCAGAAAGTAAAGTTTACTTTTATTCAGCTTGACTTTACCAGTGAGGAAAACAAAAAACAAAACAAAACAAAAACATTCTGTTACTGGCCAGTTGCCCTATGGAAAGAAATTGGAAATACCCATCCTTTCTTCTGAGGCTCTTAGATGGATATACTGAATAGAAAAAAAAAAATACTACAGGATATAAATTGTTTCCTGTTTAATATAAGAGTTTTTAAATTAAAACATTTGTTCCCTTAACTTTGATTTTTTTTTCTATCATAGATTTCAATCAGTCTTTAAATGAGGGATAAACTATTTAACTCAGTCATCAGATAGTACACATAGTGTATTCGTTCTTTAAAAATGCCTAGTTCTATGGGATATATATTCAGCTTCATATATTTTCATTATTTAACACTAACACCACAGTGGCTTAATATCCCATTTGTAATGCAGAGAGAGTTAATGAGTTATGCTAGTAAAAAGCAAACTTTAAAGCATTTAATACATTTCATATTATTATTTGTTCTGAGAGACTAACTCAAGATTTATAGGGTTCAATTTTGAACCTCAGAATAAATAAAGAGAAGGGAAGCCAAAACTTCCCTGGTGTTGAGGAAAAACCCTTGCTTTCTAACTTCCTATGAATGGCAGTATTGTTCCCCACAGTATAGGGGAGCCGGGACCTTGCCATTCCATACTAAGGCTTGTTTTTATTTTTAAGGAATGTCGGAAAATTGTGGAAATGAATGTTTTTTCTTTTTCTTCTTTCCTTAATACCTCATGGATCCTGACCTTTTCCTTTAAACTGGTTTAGTATGTGTTTCCTTTAAAACTGGTCACTGACCCAAAAATAAGTTTTTCTTTTTCCATGATCTTCTCTAAAGAATTCTGTTAATAGCACACTAAACTGGATTACAAACTTACTGAATAAGTGCTTTGAATTCTGGGCAACCTTGGAATAAAGGGCACAGAAAGAGTAATACTGCATAAAACAAAATTGAGCAAGTTAGTATAAAGGAAGGGAATGCAACTGTATGGTTGATGTGATCAACATCTTCTAGTAGGTTTATTAGCAATTTAATGGAATATGGTTATTCAAGCATAATAATAGCCTCAGTTGAAATGTCTGCTCTGCTCTTTTTCCCATACACTTTGGAATGAGTCGAATGTGACAGTTGAGCTTTCAACAAGCTTCATGAATTTTAAATCCTTTTGAGTCATAAAATGGGTTACATGGCATGTAGTCAGTGTGGACAAGGAGTTGGCAGCCTCGCTGTGTGTTATGGGATATCAGGTGTCTTCAACATACTGAGGACCTGGGTTCACTAGGTGCATTCAGAGGTCTGCTCTGCATATCCACAAAGAACAGAGGACCTCTTTCTGTACAACATTTAATAATTAATTATTTTGCAATTGTAAAGTTACTTTCCCAGCAATTGATTCAAGACTTAAACTTCATGTCATCACAGAAGAAAATCTTTACTACTGTCTCAGAACAAATTATTTTGGGGCAGCTAAATATTTCTATGTTTGTTTCCTTCTCCTGTCTGATTCATGTATATTTAAAGAAGAAAACCTCTGTGAATTGTGACATGGATTTGTACCCTCAAATTTTAACACATATCCTAATTGGTCCTAAAGTTATTCTCAATTTCTGTTACCACTGTAAAAATTTTTACCACTGTAAAAATCTGATTCTTTGCTTAGGGATAAAAGTATTGAAATAATTTGAAATCCAATACAGGGAGCTTTACTATTTGTATCTGGAGCTACCTTACAACAAAAGTCTGTTTTCCGAAGATAATTTTTCAGGAAGTCCATTTTAAAGCAATCTCAATTTGAAGTGTGAGTTCATTTTTAAACTACCTTATAACAGTGCCCCATATTTTATTTAAATGTGGCATGTGGGTTCTTCTAGTGTAATTTTATAATAGCATGAGGAAAAAAACAATTTCCTTAACAATTTCCGATAGGAAATTTTGGAAGTTTATGTGACAGATTATTAGTAGTGGTATCTATACATAGTGTTGGGATTACAAGAATTTTTAATGGTTTTATTTTTACTGATCTGTAATTTCTAATTTTTTCTGCATAGAATGTGTGGGATGGGATGTACTACCTTTTTCATCTTGAGTCTAGGGAGAGTGGGTTTTACAGAGACCACTCAGAGTTGATAGATATTCCCTGTATTTGGGAAATGCCCTGGGCACTGGTCTTGGAGATCTGAAGAGCAAGAAACTCAGTGACTAACGGCTTAGATACGGAGCCAAGAAATTGCTGCTTTGTTGGGCACAGATACACTGCCAGAGTTTGTGGAAGTGTTTTCATGGACTAGAAATGTAGGAGCTAAAGCTAGGCTGGGGCTGTTTCAAGTCCAGTCCAAAGGTATAGATAGCTTGGTATACCAAGCAAGGTAGCCCCACAGTGAGAGCCTGAATGGAGCAAACCACCAGTGAACTAGGGGTTGGTAACTCAGGCAAAAAAGACTTCTGAAATGCGGCTACAAGTGGTCTGCTCTTCCTTACCCAGAGTCACATTAGTACTTGAATGTTTAGAATAGTAGAAAGCATGCATTGACAAGCCATGTCCTCTATGCATAGATCTGCCTTGGCATCTGCCTCGGGAGTGATTACTACAGTTGTAGATAGGTAGACAGAGTTTTAGGCATTCAGCTTTTTCCACCAGTGACAACAATCATTATCCACTGACCAAGCAGGGCCCTAAATCATTTTTGCGTATTTCCTTTTAGCCTTTGTTAACAATCATACTTATAAAAAAAATGTTGCAATCTAGTTTTTTGCATAGTCTTCTAACTGCTAAATTTATCCATGTTCTTATTCTTAGAAGTATCTCTTCGTTTCTCCCTGGGTATTTATAAGGATATGCTTCATTCAGTTCATTGCACAAATTCTAAATGACATTAGTCACTAAAGACACAGTATGTGAAATTACGCTCTTAAGATCTGAAAGAGT